TCACAGTTCGAGCTCGGCCAGAGTAGCGGTGGAGGTGATCCTACGTCACCCCGAGACGCAGAGGATTACTTCATCCACAATACTGTGCCCTCCGGTACCCAGGAGGACCCATCGTCCAGCCAGCAGACTCCCCCACCGCCCTAAGACCCATTCACCACCATTACTCATTACAGGCAGCGTCGTGTCAGACGGAGGGACGATAGACAGGATACAGAATCGTTACCCCGAATAAATGAATCGGGATAGTATTATCTGTTGTATTTGTTGTAGCCGGATATTCTAGAATGATGTATATATCACTTACATTATTAATATAATAAATGTTTTTTGAATGAATCTGTGTGTGGTTTGAAGTTTAATTTCCTTATTTGTCCAAATTGGACTTATTCCAGTCAAAATAGATCCTTCTAGGCTAATACATATATAACAACAGACATTTGGGCTCTATAATGAGAAACGGGGTAGAAGCAACGACCCGTGGTGGTTAATGCGGTGGTTCATGGTGGTTGTAGTGCTGTTGGTTGTGGTTGGTGGTGGTCGACGGTGGTGGTAAGGTTGGGGCTGGTGGTGGAGGTGGAGGTGGTTGTAGTGTTTTTGGGGGTGGTTGGAGTGTTTTGAAGTGCATAAAGGTGGTCGAAAGTGGCGGGAGGTGGTGGTTGGTGCTGGTCGACGGTAGGGGTTGGTGGTGGGGGTGGTGGTTGAGGGTGGTGGCTTATTGAAGGCTGGGGGTGGTGTGTTGGGGGCAGAAATGGGGCAGAAATTAGAGAAGAAACCCTGCTGGCTGCTGGTATTGCACTCCAGCAGAAAACCGCTGTCTGAGACAGCGTTCTATGTACAAATTTTTTTGTTGTACATAAACCGCTGTCTCAGACAGCGTTTTATGTACAACAAAAAATTTGTACATAAAACGCTGTCTCAGATAGCGTTTTATGTGCAACAAAAATTTTGTACATAAAACGCTGTCCCAGACAGCGTCTTATATGCATTTGATATTTTTTTAACAAAAAAAAAATCAAAAAATAAGAATTTTTTTTTAAAAAAAAGTCAATAGGTAAAACGCTGTCCCAGACATCGTTTTACAAATTGATTTTTTTTTAAAAAAAAAAACCAGGGCATAATACTCTGTCCGAGACAGCGTTTTACCCTGAAAGCTTAGTTTTGCCACGCAACCAATTTGCAAAATTCTTTTACAAAGAAGCTCACTTTGGGGAAAAGTCCGATATACTAATATATATAGCATGTATAAGGGAATGATGAGTGCATTATTGATATAAATTAAGATGCGAAAATGATAGGGTAGATCACAATCGTCAAAAACTTATCCAATTCTAGATTTCGACCTAAATTGACGTGTAATATAAAAAACCTCGTGTTTTGCTCACTGGTAAGAAGCGCCAACGTCGCCTTTCTTCCAATATTTGGGTGCATTTTGATTTTTTAGATGAGCCTAATGACAATGGTAGTCTGATGTGCAAATGTAAGAAGCGTGGTATGTGTTTTAATGGTGATAGTAAGAATGGAACTGGAAATCTTCATCGTCATCTTAAAAATTGCAAACAAAGGTCTTATAGGCATGTTGGTCAAATGATTTCAGAGAAAACATCTTCTGGTTTAGGGAATAGATTGCCTGAATTTGATGTTGATTATTTTCGTGAAATATTGGCTCTTGCAATTGTGGAGCATGGTTTGCCATTTCAGTTTGCAGAATATAAGGGTGTTAGGAGATGTTTCAATTACTTGCATCCTGATTTTAAGGCTGTCACTCGAAACACTATCAAATCTGATGTGCTTAAGATGTATAGGAGGGAAAAAGAGACATTGAAAGCCGTGTTGGGCTCTAGTTCTAGTAGAATTTCATTGGCTTCTGATTGTTGGATGATGGTTACATTTCACTAACTGCTCATTATGTTGATAAGCATTGGTGTTTGCAAAAAAGGATCTTGAACTTCTCTTACATTGCTCCTCCCCATACGGGAATTCATTTGTGTGATCATGTGTATGGTTTGTTAAAGGAATGGGGCATTCAAAAATATATTTTTTCAATTACATTAGATAATGCTTCTTCTAATGATGTTTTTGCTGAAAATCTTAAAGGGGAACTTGACTTGATTTGTGGTGGGGATTTTTTTCATGTTAGGTGTTGTGCTCACATTCTTAATTTAGTTGTTCAAGATGGTTTAAAAGAGATTGATGTTGCTGTGTGTAAGATTAGAGAGAGTGTTAAGTATTGTAAGAGTTCTCAAGCTAGGAAACAAAGATTTTTAGGTTGTGTTGCACATGTTAAACTTCAATCTAGTAGAACTTTACAACAAGATGTTCCTACTAGATGTAATTCCACTTACATGATGCTTGATAGTGCTTTGTATGTATTTCATAAAAGATTTAATTCACTAGTTGATGCAAACTATATTCATTGTCCTTCTTTGGAAGAATGGGGTAGAGTAGAGAAAATATGCAAGTTTTTGAAAGTTTTTCATGATGTCACACTTGCTTTTTTCGGGACCAAATATCCTACTTCCAATCTCTATTTTATAAATGTCTTGAAGGTGAGGTTGTTGTTAAAGGATGAAATGAGAAGTTCGGATCTCTTTATGCAAAAAATGGCCAATAAAATGCTTGAGAAATTTGGAAATATTGGTCTGAATTTAGTACTCTTCCTGCTGTTGCTTTGGTGTTGGATCCACGGTATAAGATTCATTATGTGCAATGGAGTTACAAGATGATCTATGGTGATGGTTTTGAATATGAGCTTGAGTTCTCCAAGGTTAAGGATGCTATAAGGGGGTTGTACGATTTTTATGCATCAACTTATTCCTCATCAAGCAATGCTAATCTCAAAACTAATGCTTCCGAGGCTGTGAAGGAAACTTGTGATGATTTTATGATGGTAAATTGTAAACACTTGTTCCCTTTATCTGTTTTGTGTATTTTTTAATCTGATTTTATGTATTATGTCGTAATTTTTTTTTCTTTTTTTAAATCTGATTATATAGTTTTTATTAATAATCTGATTTTACAATTAATCATGCTGTAAACTTGTATTCTGATTTTTTACTTTCAATCTGATTTTTTAATAATCTGATTTATCATGTTGTAATATGTCATAATCTGATTTTTATAATAATTTGGTAACTTTTATAATCTGATTTTTTTATTTTATTTTATTTTATTTATAATAATTTAATTCTTTATTTATTATGTTATTTATCGTTGTTTGTTATTTATTTTGGTATAGGATTTTGATAGTTTTTATATGGAGCAATCAAGCATGGCTACGAAATCTGAAATAGACATGTATTATGAGGAGCCACTTATCCCTCGATCTTCCGATATTGATATTATATCTTATTGGAGAACATGTTCGGTGCGCTACCCTATTTTAGCTCATATGGCTAAAGATGTCCTTGCTATCCCCGTGTCTACTGTGGCCTCCGAATTGGCTTTTAGTACCGGAAGTCTGATACTTGATTGTTATAGGAGTTCATTAAAGCCGGAAACGATGGAGGCTATTATTTGCCTAAGAGATTGGGCCTTTGGGAAAGGTAGTAAATTGTTTAATATACCACATACCTTAATTTTTATTAGTACATGTACATGTCATATAATATATATATTACCTTGCTTTCATCTCTCTCTCTTTTTTTTTTTTTTTTTTTTTTTTTGGAGACTGTATGGATCCTCAATTGGAAATGCTTTGTGGTTCAATCATGAAACTTGAGGTGGGAAACAAGGAAGACAATCCACTTACATCGCCCGAGCTTGATCCAAGGGAAAGTCATATTGTATCGTGTAATATTGTTTGAGAACATTATATGTGAACTTGTGTTTTAAAACTTGGTAGCTTTTGAAACTTAGTTTATGATTTGTTAAGGAGACTATTGTTTTGTAATAGTAATTTAGGTACTTAGACTTTTGGTTTATTTTAGATTGTCGAAACTTTGAATGATTGAAACAGCAAACCTATGTTGTATTGCTGTTGATTGTGTGTGTTTGAAACATTTGAAAAACATCAGGTCCATTTCAGGTTATAGAAACCTGATTTAAATCCAAAAAAAAAGTCAGGTCATATCAGGTTAATTTCAGGTTGACCCGAACCCGAAAATATCAGGTTCAGGTTAGGATTTTCAACCCGAAAAAGTTAAATTGATCAGGTTGGGTTGAGGGTTTGCTCACCAGAAATTAGGTGACCTGACCTAATCTGTTTGCTAGCCCTAGTTAGAACGCTTTGAAAATTTTTCCATGCCATTTTTTTTATTCTGATAATTTAAAAAAGAAATCTATCTTTATAATGTAGTTGCTTTTATAAATTTTAATCTAAAAATAATTTTAAATTCATATTTGATTTTGAAGAACCTAATTTGATTAAAAATCTTTTAGTTTGCTTACAAAAATATTTATTTGCTAAAATTCTTTCGAATAAAAATACTTCTTTGATTATATTTTCCTATCTTAACCTCATGAAATTCATAAAATATTGCTATCAAAATATTTTTCTCTCCAAAATAATTCGAATAAGCTTAGTTTAGAATTTTATAACTTCATATAAATTACCTGTAATTTCTTTTAAAAGTACTCCATAATAGTAATAATTATATGATCAACGGAGTACTAGTGAAGTAATTTTCTTAAGGTAAGCTTGCACTAGTGAATAAGTAATTACCCTTACCCTAGGACAAGGAAACCAATCATTGGAATCCGGCTAGAATCTTCCGAGGAAATTATATACAGTCCTTAACTCCTCTTTATAGGCTTGACCATTGTCTAAATCAGATGTAACATGAAGTTCTTGTCAAGCTTTTGTGAAATTGAAACACTTTAGCTTTAGTGATGTTATCTTGGCACCAGAAAACAAATACTACTCCATCTGTTTTGTAATAATCGCAATAGTTTGTCTTATGCACTATTTATATGCTTATTTTTATATTTTAACTATACTTTTTACCAATATATAAAAAACCTATCTTGTCATGAATATTTTCTCATATAACAGTTATAGCAACATTCGGTGTCGTGGTGTAGTTGGTTATCACGTCAGTCTAACACACTGAAGGTCTCCGGTTCGAGTCCGGGCGACGCCATTATTTTTTCCACAATCTCACCCTATTTTTTCCAATTCCAATTTACTTCTCCCCGGAAAAGCACAGAAAAAGATAGACACAAACACAAAAATGGTGCAGGTGGTAAGAGCCGCAATAACCCCTGTATTCCACCGTCAATTACTCCACTTTCTCTCTCTTCAACCACCACCCACAACCGCCGCAATCTCCGCCCCTCCCCGCCTCTCTCTCTTCTCACACCGCCGCAACGCCCACCTTAAACCCCGCGCTCTCCGCCCTCCACAAGAACTCGACCTTCAAAAAGATAGCCGCAGCAAAAAGTTAAGCAGTAAATCAGACGATGAAGAGGGTGATGATGAAACATCTGAGGATAAGAAGAAGCAAAGGAGGAGTCGTAATGAGATGAAGCGTAAAGCTCGCCAAACTCTTCATTGGGGCATGGACCTCGCTTCTTTCTCTACCCCTCAAATTAAACGTATTCTCAAGTTTAGTTTTCCTTTCTTTCTTCCTTTTTTTTTTTTTTTATTTTTTTTTTTTGGCATGATATGACAGATAGGCGGGATTTAATTGTAGTCTATCGGGTATTACCCCGAATAGACTTAACTACTATGCTAATTGAGATCAATGTGGATTTATGAAGTGGGTATTGTGCATTTTTAGCTGATAGCCAGATATGTTTGTTTTCTTTCTGGGGTGAAATTGGTTTGGTGCTTGGAATTGAATAGAATTTATATAATTTTGCACTGATTTTTTTTTTGAGTTATTTCCCATTTTTATATGTGAAAGTTAGTGCAGATAGGGGTGGGACTTTTCAAACCGAACCGTGAAACCGCCCGTTACCGAACCCAAACCATCACGGATCGATCCGTTTATAAACCGATAAATATAAACCGAAAATCGAACTGAACCGTTCAATATCAAACCGAAACCGAATTGAACCGCTCAATGTCAACCCGTTACGGACCGTAAACCGATAACAAACCAAACTGCGCAAATCCGAACCGAAACGAAACCGAACCGTATGGTTTATAAACCCGTTAATGACCCGAACCGTTTATAAACCGAAACCGTTTAAACCGAAAAAAAAAACCGTTTAAACCGAACCATTTGTAACCCGCTAACTGTTTAAACCGACCCGTTTATGAACCGAAACCGTTTAAACCGACCCGTTAATGACTTAATGAGTTAATGCACATCAATATCTGACATCTCTATAGTCTATATGTATATTATATATATCTGTGAGTCTGTGACTGTATATCAGTATATATAATAAACTAATAATAACTTAATAAGTAATAATACTAATAACTAATAAAGTAATGAAAATCTAACCATTGTTTTTCATGGGCATTCAATCTAACCGTTGTATATTTGACTATTCGTACATTAGTATTGCATAATGATTTCATCACCACTTTAATTAGTGATTTCGTGATTTCGTCCATTTAACTTATTAAGTTGTTTGAGTTAGTAATCTAAATAAAGTAACAAACTAAATAACGAATCCATTTAATCTCGTGTAAGTTAAAATTTATAAGAAATGCAATGTTTGGAAATGGAAATTGATTCAATACGATATTGTTAATGTATATGTAATTATAGATTAATTATTATGTATATCATATCGTACGAATGTACGGTTGGTATCATTATCATACTATCATAAGTATCATTGTCTCATTGAATTATTGGTATGTACTACAATCGATAAACATATTTACATATCTGATTATTAAAACTTAAAAGTTTAAAACACTTGTTGATCAATCTAATTGAATACTTGTACATTCATAATTATCGATTTATCGTATTATAAGTATCAACTCATTAAATCATGGTCATGACGCGATCTTTAAATCAATCATGAATTCATGACCCAAACCGCTTATAAACCGAACCGACATGATCCAAACCGTTCATAAACCGAACCAATTGAACTGTGTAAACCCTCTACTAAACCGGCCCATTTCAAACTGAACCGACATGATTCGCACTGTTTATAAACCGAACCGATATTGACCCGGGTAAATCCGCCCCTAAACCGACCCATTTCAAACCAAACCGGCTTGATCCAAACCGTTTGTAAACCGAACTGACATTCACCCGGGTAAATTTGCCCTTTAAACCGACCCGTATCAAACCGAACCGACATAATCCGAATCGTTTATAAACCGACCCGCTTATAACCCAAACCGAATTTAAACCGCAAAGAAATAAACCGAAACCAAACCGAGCCGTGACTAACCCAAACCGAACCAAACCGACCCGCCAGCTAAACTAAACCGTTTCAATCCGAACCGCTCCAAACCGAAACCGACTCAAACCGAGGTCAAACCGAACCGCCAGACCGAAGTCCCACCCCTAAGTGCAGATAATGAAGTGGTGTTATGTTTTTGTAAGTGAATAAGTGATGAATGTAAGTGCACTTATTTGTTGTTTTGGGTGGAATTTGTTTGCAGGGCGGCTTCATTAGAGGAAGAAGTATTTGAGGCTTTGATGGTGGTTAAGGTGGGAGAGATACTCTAATGTAGTTATACGTGCTAAGCTGTGAAATCAAGTAGAGAGTCGAATCATATTAATGTGTTTGAATTTGTGCTGCAGAAACTAGGATCTGATGTTCGTGAAGGGAAACGCAGGCAGTTCAATTATATAGGTACTTGTTATCATTGCTTTTTGGTGTTGTGGAGAGTGGTTTAAGATCCTAAAACTCTTTATCTAACTCTGTTAAAGTACAGGAAAGGAAGCCTAATGTGTCCTAATTTATGAAGTTATTTAATTGTTTGTGCATGTTGATGTATGAAATGCTTTGTTATCTTGAGTTTGCAGTGTGTTGAGAATGTCATGTATTGTGCGCTTATTCTGTATGACAGGATGATTATTTGATAGGTTAATTACAGTTGATATTCGATGATTGCAATCTGTATTTTCTCATGGATATGCATGATAATCAGACTGGGTGTGGCAGGGAGGTTACTTCGGGATGCTGATGCACAGCCTGAATTGCTTGGAGCTTTGATTCAAGCTACCAAAGATGGTGACCAGTCTACATTGCAGGCCTTAGCAGGTTCTGCGAAATTGTTTGATGAAGGTCCTGAAGAGGAGCTTCATGAATCTGAATCTGAATCCGAGCAGGAAGATGAGGTAATTAATGTCCACAAGATGATTGTGAAGCATTTGTGAAAATAAACTATCACCTTCTTTCTTTTTTTTTAATCACCTTCTTTGACTTATTTGGTGATTATTATTGTTAAACTAGGTGTTGTAGATAGGGTTAATAAGTTATCATGAGTACAAGCATTTGATGAATAAGTCTCTCACCTTATTTTGATTCCTTTGATCCAAGCTTGTTCTGATTTCTTGATCGAGATTTTAATATGATAAAGGTAAATGGATTATTATGAGATTTGCCAAGATATTCAACATATCAACCACAAATTGACGTATCTATTTGCTTTCTGATGGATAACTAGCAATATGCATTCGTGATGTTTGACTTTAAACTTAATATGGTGTGAAAAAAATAAAGAGGTATTCCGTAATTGATTTAGGTTTTAAGTAAAAGTGTGTTCAATAGTCCCCATGATGATCATTCTGCTTTAAATGGACCCAAATTTCTATTAACTAGGAATGGTCTTAAGTCTCTTAACTCTCAACTTTGGCAGCTGTATTCTCATACTATTTTAATCCTATCTTCCTCCTCCTTCACTGTCTCCTTCCCACCCACCAAGTCACCACAACCTTGATATCTTGAAGACTTGAACAACTTATTCAATAATCAGCACACAACACAATTTAACAAATCTCACCCTTTGATATATTATCAAATAATCATGGTTGAGCCAAGTTCTGAACCCATGATCTCCTTTGATATAAATACAAAAAAGAAGTATCAGGCCTATTATATTGTTATTCATCCATCAAGAAAGTTTAACTAAGCCAAGTTGCCACTTGATTTATCATCATCACTTCATGTGGCAAATTTCAGTTTTTTTTAATTCATACAGTTGTTTCAAATTTAATCAATGCATTTTCAGTGCTTGTTATCTCTTTTATGATACTTGTATTAAATGTGAAAATTGAATTTCTTTGGTAATGTGTCATTGTGTGCTAGTATTGTAGATAGGGTGAGTTTAAAAGTATAGAAATGAGCATTTTTTAGGAAGTACATTTAGGAATCTGTGAAATGATAATGTTAAACTGATTTCTGCAACCTAAGCTAAATTTGTTTGCTAAATTGGGGAGAAGATGCAAATTGCTTAGTGATAATCTTCTGGAAGGGGAATATGATAGTGTTTTTAGTGTTGGATGGTAGTATGCATTGGTTACCGCATCACCTGCATATGTGTATTCAATGAGTTAGAAAAGTTTTGCTATCTTAAATGTAATGTTCTGAAAAGTTCCTTAAATTTCCCTTACTGCATTATCTACCCTCTTGTGGAGCAACTATCTTAAACCCAACAATATGCTTCTTGTAATCTTTCAGCTATATATTAGTACTCAACTTGAGTCCTCAATCATATGCATGAAGGATGGTAGTAAATCTTGTAATGTTAGGAACATTTACAAACTTAAAAGAAACTCAAGAAATGAAATCCATGTGTCACATCTTTTTTGCGAGTCTTTAGAAGCTACCAAGATTCTATGAATCTGACTTGCTCAACTCCTATTTATACAGGATTCTGATGATCATATCTTGCTAGCGAGCAAATGGTTTGACAGTCTTATTAAAAAGGATATCCAAGCAAGCAATGAAGTCTATTCTCTTGACAGCATGGATTTTGACCGCCAAGTAAGATGATCTTTTCAAGTATTGCCATTTTTAATGTTTAGATCCTGTTTCTCCTGGCGAGTGAGTGATAAGTGATAAATTGGTCATTGGACAATGTTACGCTTTCAACAACTCATACTACCAAATAAACAAGTGATTGACAAGCACGTGATCAAATACATAGGAAATGACTAGTAAACACAAAATATGCAAACTACAACAAGCTAATTCAATCAAGTATGACAAATTGGTAGAATCACTAAGCTAACAGGAGGATCTAGAATTAGGCAAATACAATAATATCGAAGGTTATAGATAAGGGGAAACATTAGGGGTGCACGGGATCGAACACAACCAAAGCACAAGCCAATTTGATTTTATGAAAAGGGGAACAAACGTAGTCATGCAAGTGGGTACTAAATTCATGTCCTCTCTCGAAGACGCACAAACAAGAACTATGTTAGGCGTATACAAGCAAGACTGAATAATATTCAAAGATAGAAAGGAGATTCTTAACACGATTAGATATTTTGATTCTATTTCAAGCATGTTTAAGCACAATTAATTGGATCTTTTACCAAATTTTTACTCTAGAGCAACTGCAACAATGAATAGGCTAACAGACCCAACAATCAAAAACCAAATTTAATCGCTAAACCAAAAGCCTACAATTTTCTCAATGATTCAACTAAAAGGAAGCAAGTAAGCATTCGTATGGTCATAATAAACACCAACAATTAACTCTCAATTTCACAAACCACATCCTGCCATACATAGTCCTTGATATTCACATGATCTTGACTTGTAGCATGGTTGAGCTTTCACCCAACCCCTAACTAGTAAACTACTCACTAATCATACTAATCATCTCATCCAACATACTAGCATAATTGATTTCCACAGATACTCTATAGACGAATTAAAAGCAATCAAGATAACAAATAAACAAGATGATCAACCTTGATTAAAATTAATTCAAGCATGAACCCTATTTAATATGATAGGGAAGCAATGTAAATCAAGTAGAAATCAACAACTAAGAGGAAAGAGTAGATAGAGAGATTATTTGACCAAATTCAATCGGCTAGCAAAGAACAATGGAAATGTTTTACTGGTAGCTTTTAAAATTTGGCTGCTTATGTGAAGCTAGTATCCATAGCTGTCGTAGAATTTTAGTTACTTGCTGAACAATTTTCAACTTATGCCCCTGCATTTTCTTCCAAAACCAACAGTCGTGACCTTCTACAGACTACAGTAATATTCCCTTCTTCTCATTAGTTTTTTGAGATTCTTCTTCATCACAGTGGCTCTGTCATCTTCTATACTGTTGCTAGTTTCCATGTTTTTCCAACAAATGCCTCTTGAATATTTTTTTCCCAATTGAAACCTTGGTGATCTAGCTATGAAAAATTAGGAAGTGAAGACCACTTACCAATTAAGATGAGGCTTTAGGAGAAGATAATATTTTACTGGGCTCACCTCAAGGTTCTCCACTGGAACAAGTGATCACTTGGACCTAGAAGTCTAAATAGGGAAAGTCCTCTAGACACTTGTGCTCCACTTAAATCACTCTTAAAAACATTTTACTAACAACTGAACAAAAACATCAAGAAAGTTGCAGAAGTAGGTACTAAGAATCTTCTGCAGTATCTAACATGGGTAGAATTCAAGTTCATATCCATTCAATTCTCTCCATTACCCTAAGTTAGTCACCTAATTGCTTGGGGTAAAGCATATTGGGTGGTCCATTGGTACCATGAATTTTTCATATTTGGCCTAGCGAATGACCTGCTGGCCTCCAAGCACCAAATGACTCCATGAAGGTGCTAGGAATTGGGTATGAAAAACAGAGAAACGCATCAAAAATAGGAAAGTAACCCATCAAAGATAGTGGATTATATTGATGATCAAAGCAATGACACAATAAAACCTCCTTACTTTCGTGAGGTAAGCTCTCTCCCACATGCAAAAATGAAGAGTTTGCAGATTAATTTTCAGCATAATCCCACCTTATTACAAGCATCTATATATAAAGGCATCTTCCAACAAACTTACAACAGAATCCTCCTCCCAAAGCACCCCATAACAAACTCTAACAAACTAGTATTGAATTACTATTCTACAGAAGGGTAATGTTAACCACTTTTGGCGCCCTATTCTTGCGAGAGTAAGTGAATAGAATAGCAGGTGTCTGATTCCTAGCAGAAGGCCGATTAAGGAAATGTTTTATGTCATACCTCCGCCGTTGGCCGTATCCACCATGGTTCAAAGCCTTTCTCTTGATCCATATAATGCTCGCTCACTCGAAGTGCACGAGCTGTAATCCTTGACCTTATCTAGGTCGTCAAGTTAGGAAGAGGAGAGATTTGAGCCTGGTTTTCCTTGTCAATAAGCAGGGTGTCAAAAGTTATAAGGAGAAAGTTTTCTTCTGTCTGGGCAACACTAGTTGTCTTTGTCAACTTTTTGTTTTTAAAAATTAAAACCATTGGTCAAAATCAAATAATGGACTTTTTAGACTGCCTTAGAACGTTTTAGGTTATGTCTATCAAATATATAAATTTAATCACAGCCGTTAGTATAGACATTTCCTATTTCACATACCTAAGTTGAGGCTAAGCACTGCAGAGCCATGAGATTGAGGAACCATTTTTTTTTTTTTTATCATGAGCCGTGTAATTGTTAGGCTTTGTGCTTCTTTTTTCGGGAATTCTTCTGTTGGTTGCTTTTATTTTTTCCTTACAGTGGAGTCTATAAAATCAACACAAGCGAAAGATAAGCTTATGGGTAGCTTTTAAAGAAACATCAAGGCTCACAAATTTGAGCATGAATACCCATAACTAATCTAAAGGCCATACATATGGAGCATGAGACCTCCAAGAACCTCAACCTTTCATGCAAGTGCTAAAGCAACATCTATGGTGTCTCAACTATTATCAAAAAAACATTATGGTTTATGCTGAGATCCTTTTGACATACTTGACGATCACGGAAAATTTTTGTCGATTATGTGGAAAAAATGTTGGCAAACATCAAGATTTGGATTTTTATTTCCTGTTTTTAGAGGTTACACAGAAAACAGTATCTAAGAGAAGAGGTGTGCGGTGCCTAAAGTCTGATAGCCATATTGTCATGATATTCATGAAAATGGAAGTCAACAGGTAGGAATTTTTTTGCTGGCTGATCTGAATTCTAGGCTCGGTAATGGCAGTTGCTGAATTGCAAATCCGGTGCATATTATTTACTATGCTGGCCTTATTTACCAAAAGAAAGAATGGATTATACTCTTATTTCTGTTTAGATGCTTGTGTGGCTAATTATTTAGGGGCACTCCGTGAATTTGCATGCCGGAGAGGAAAGGAAATAACAACTCTCATGTGCTCATCTGATCTAATCTCAGTTGAGGCACAATCTTTTGTTGATCTGTCCTGAATCATATAAATGAAGGTCAGTTAGCTGTTAGCAGCCCTGTGAGGTGTACTTTTTTTTCCTAGGGCTTTCTTTAAGGCTTTGTTTGTTTTGACGGAAAATAGTTTCCAAGAAAATGAGAGTTGTAAAAATAGTTTTCCTTTGTTTTCTTTCAAGAAAAATTTGGAGGAAGAGAAAAAAGGGAGTGAAATGTAGAAGTTGGATGAGAGGAGATGTTAGGGGAAAAAATATGGGACCAATATTTTCCACCATTGGAAGATGTGTTCCACCCTTTTACAACAGTAGAAAATGAAAAAAATTATATTTCTGAAAAATGTTTCCTATCAACACAATGATGCACATACATGCATTGTTAATTTGTAAAGGCACTTCTATCTGTGTAATTAGTTGCTATGAAGTGAAATGTATCGATGTATACACATACAGAATCAGAAATTTTCTTTCATACTTGTCAAAGGTTGATTGTGATTGGTTGGGTAAGTTGGAAACATAGGACAACATCGAAAACTGAACAGGACTTCTATAATTTGCAAATTTTTGCAATCTCCTGTTTGAACAAGTTTTGTGGGTCTTATGCCCTGATTTTCGGTTATTCTGTTTAGCCAAATTTGCGTCATGTGATGGAAACTTTTTACGACAGTTTTGTTTTAGTTTCAGTAGTTGCACATGTTGCAATTATGTCTGTTTAAGTTTCAGTAGGTGCACATGTTGCAATTATGTTTGGTTACCTTTTCTTACAATGTTGTGACGCGAATTGTGTATGCAGGAGTTGCGGAAACTTGTCCGGAAAGTGCACAATGTGCAAGATAGCCTAAATAGCACAGAAGAAGACCCAGAAAAGTGTGCCGGATTGATTGCTGCTAAGAAGTCGCTTAATCGTTTTCTTAGTTCTCTAGCTAAACGTCATTCAAGTGCCCAAAATATAGATGTATAGACAAAATTAGAATTTGCAACATCATTAGTTCAATCTCTATTCACAAAGTCCAAAGTAGTATGTCAGTTTTGGTCTCTCAAGATAGTAGATTCTTCAGTTGCCTGAGTCACACAGCTGACACCATCTAGTAGTAATTAGCCCTATAATACTCAAGATGCTGAATGGTAATGAACCTAATCTTTTGCCCGAATAAAAATGCATTATAGAAAAACGAGGAGAGGCAGCAGAACATTGTTCTTTCCATGTTAAATGGGTATGCATTATAAGTAATTGAGCTGCCTATATTCTTGTGGTTCCATAAACCCAAGGCTGCCTTGTATTTTCCTCTCAAAAACCATAGCCATATAATCTTTCCCATTTGCACACGCTTATCAGATGGTGGTGGCGGTGCTGGCCGTGGCTGCCACAATTTGGTGGCTCTGGCAGGTAGGCATTCAGATTACCCTATTGACTCTCCCCTGAGATATTTCTCATACTGTCCTGGTGTTATTTATTTCTTATTTTTGCTTTTTGTCTCCCAAGTGATATCTAGTACTTTGTAAGTTTGCATGAAGTATAATATTTAGATTTGTTTGGTAATTATAATATTTAGGTTTATTTAGTAAATTTAATAATGCTCAGTGCTAAAATTACAACACATATTCAAGCTGCAAGTAATCACTGCAAGTCTACAAGGGGATATGCAGTGCAAAAACAATATAGTTGTATGTGCTTTAAAATTTCGGCATCTCAGAAATGAGCGTGTTGGACAATATATTTTTTTGAAATTGATTTGCCAGAGTAACAAGAAGTTAGGATTCTCTTGCTTATAATATCAGATTTCACCAACAACGGTAATTATGAGCCAAAAGAGAAATACATTATGTGATAAATAATAAATCACTTAAGCTAAAATGAATTATGGTTTATTATTAACGACACAATGTGAAAAAATAAACAATATTGATCAAGAACTTAAGGGACTAAATAAGATGGTTTCTAAAATCACATTCACTATGCTTACATACTTTTCTTGGACTCTAGGTGGAAAAATCAATCTACATAACATGCCAGACCTGAAAGAGCCAAACCCACCTGACAAGTTATAGCAACATTGTACTTGAAACAACTTCCCTCAATCAAGGTGCAGTAGCACAACATTTCAGATTTACAAAACTGCGACTTTCCCTAAACTTTCCACATTGCAATATCAACCCCATGTTTCCATTACTTCCGGAGAACATCTTGTTAAATGGCAAGTATGTATTCCTCAGAAATCTCAAATAGATAAAACTTTTTGCAGGAGAGTCTCTAATTGGGGTCTTGCTTACTCCAATATCTCAAGCTTTGAATCCACAAGCAAAAATCAATACGACTTCAATTTTCAGAAGCCAAACTTTCAGCAGGGTTATTTAGCACTGATGGCACAACCATCTTCAATGCTTCACAAACTTTCATTATATCAGATTCACCATGCCCAGCAGAAACAAATAGTTTTATACCAACAGGTATAGGACATTTATCAAGTGTTGACCGCTTGGAAGTTACAACGAATATGTTGTGCTTCTCCAAAAGCTGCATGAAGTATAATTAGCTCAGAAATCTTAAATCTATGCATAAATAAAAAATGTTTGGTGGCATGTATACCTCATCAACGATATCTTCAAGCAACTGCATGTCCTTCTCTGAAGAACCCGTGGATTTTGATAGTTGTAGAAAAACGATGGGAGAAAGAGGGTCACTTGCAACTACTAATCCTTCAGAATTCGACAAACCTGAAACAAAAAGAACTATCATATTAGCACAGCCAAGTAGCCCATGAAGCCTAGAAGAATTACAAAGATAAAGTCCGAAAAGATAGGGGTGTGGCTATCCTAGTAAATTTAAGTAAACCTCATATCCAAATCCAAACACAACTTATAATTCTGCCCTATGATTCCACATTCATATCTAGACTTCCCAATCTGCAGAATATAGGCTAATTTAGATCAGATTTTGCAACTAAGTCAACCCCATTAGGTAAGAAGCTTTAGTTTTGTATATATAAAATCATCCAAAGCACAGAATCAAGTCACGAAGACATCAAAATACCAATGAACAACAAATTTGAAACACCAACATCTAACCAAAAGGACCAGGTGAAAAAATTTCTAATAAAATTTTTCAATAACAACAACAACAACAACAAAGCCTTAGTCCTGAAATACGGAACCGTATGATATAGAAAAAGGGACGTAACAAGATAATTAGTTGAAAGAGTTTGAAAAAAGATGTAAAGTGAGAAAAAGAAAAGAGCATCCAAGTAAAAATTAAGAAAGTTTTAAAAGTGAACTAAGAATAAATTCAAGAAAGTTTTAAAGGAGTGATAAAAACGTGCAAGTAAAAAACATAAAGGTTTGAGAAAATTTTAGCAAAGGAAATTAATAAAGCTCATAAAACATAAATTGGGTAAAATAATAAATGTAAATACTAAGATAAGATAAACAAAGTTATATGTATATAATCATGACACGTCGACCGTTGACGTGAATTTTCTCCCTCCACACCGCTCTATCCAACACCGTATTTTCCTTAATCCCCAAAGCACTCGTATCACTCTCAATCACCCTCTTCCAAGTTTTAATAAAATAAAGTTTTTCAATACTAGAAAGAAATTTAAATTAAACTTCGTACATTGATTAGTTCATCCAATATATCCTATTATATTGTTCTTGACCCTAACTAGTCCAAAATACTTCATATCGTGCAGTGCCTTTACTAAAAAAAAAAAAGTTATTGCCTTGTTTGGACCTAATCCAGATAGAAAGGCTAAAATTCCAAATCTTAATAAAATCCAAATTGACTTGCCCTAATCCAACATAAATACACACATAGTGCAGGTTGGTGCTATCCAAACAAAGTAAACATGGCACAAACAAATAACCCATGGAACCAAGAAGGTTGTCAGTGTTTCTACAGGACTATGGTGTACTACTTAGTATTCAACCATGAAATAAAACATGACAATCGATATGTATCGTGAAATTAAGGCCCCCACCAATTGTCTGAATCCGAAAATATAACATGGTGAACAGTATTAGGTACTGACCAAATCACATGTCAACAATATGTACACAAGACCAATTCGAGTGGTAAGAGCAGAACTCATGCACTCAACTTTTGCAACAGAAAATTCAGAAACATACCAGCCCTTAATTGCGCAACATTCTCTTTCAACTTGCTAATCAGATTAGGATTTTCTTCAAGGACATCAATAGCAGAGATTGCTGTACTAGCTAGGTACGGAGGCAAAGAAGCAGAAAAAACATAACCAGAGCTGCTTAGGCGCTGCAAGTATACACCAAATCCAACAAATTGCATGTCATTAACCAACAAAGATGTTAGCCTTTCGTAATGTATTTTGGAAAAGAGACTAGGACAATTATCAACAACAATATAGGTGGGGGCATTTAGGTATCAAGATTGTATCTGATGAGTCTTTCTTAGTAACTATTTACCTAAACATATGCGAGTCTCAGAATAAATCAATATGAAGATATGGAATACAAATTTTGGAAAGAACACTAGCTCAGGTTTTATTCAGAATTTTAATATTGTAACTTTTTATCTAAATATTAGAGTCCTAAAAGTACTTGACCAGTACTTCTGCACTAACTTTCTACCTAAAAAAATTATCAAGTCTTGTTAAGCCATATTTATCACACTTGAAAAATACACAAGCATGCAATAAAGCACAGCTGCAAGTAACAAAGATATGCCATCCAAACAATAGATTGTAATATATTTATCATACCTGGTGATCAATGACTCTTGCATTTCCAGTACAGAATCCTCCTTCTGCAGCTAATGCATGACCCATCGCAGCTGTTATGATATCGATTTTCTCAACCTGCAAACCATGTCGCAATAGTTATTATAAGGAGATAAGAGAAACATTTAAAACCCCAATAACGTTGAACATACAGGAACTTTAAAGTGTTCTGTAAGGCCTTTTCCAGATCTTCCTAGCACACCAAATGAGTTGCTCTCATCCATCATAAGGCGGAACCGGTATTCCTCCTTCAATTTAACAATCTCATCTAGAGGAGCAACTTGACCAGAGTTCTGCAAGAAAAAAACGTAATATCAACTTTTTGCTTCAAACAATGCTTTGTTAAATCAAAGACATCCAAAAAAAAATAAAAAATAAAAAATAAAAAAAACAAAAGAAAGGGCACAATAATATAAATTACATCAATATCCTACTATCCGTGATGGTACCTTCTGTGGAGAACCTTTTAGAGTTAAAGAGCAAGTTACGTATTGTATGCAGTACATGCCAACTCCATTAATAAGATTTAAAATAAATTTTAAAAAAAAAAAAAAAAAAAAAAAAAAAAATCTCAAATCTAAAATAATATCGAGTAAAAGAACACAATGTTCCTGCTGGTGGTTTGTTTGCAACAGAGAATCTCCAAAACCTGGATTCATGACTGACTATGCCTATCCCCCCTTTGCCCCTTCTGTCTTAGTGGTTCTCGTCTCAGAATACAAAAGCTTCTAGCATGTGATCACTTAAATCTTGGCATACATGATTGATCCAAAATATTCAAATCCAAGTAATCTTAGAACGAAATTAGCCAAGAAAAATCAAAAGAGAACATGAAACATCTAAAGACAAAACAATATGTCAATGATATTCAGAAACATTTTTGATTGCATATGATGGAGGGGGGAGAGAGAGAGAGAGAGAGAGAGAGTAATAACGAATCTTGAAAAAGGGGCATCAATATCAGCTATTGTGCTGATTCACCCATTGAAATATAGCAAAAGGTACAATTCCACATGGAATTATGAGGACAATATTGGAATTTAACTTACAAACCAAGGGTATTTTTATCGAAAAAAATGTCTAGAAAAGGAAAAATTCCAAATGTAACCAAAAAAGGGTATTTTTGTCCAAAAATAGTCTAAAAAAGGAAATATTCCAAACATAACCAACAAAGGGGAATTCCTTAAACGGATTACGTAACTAACATATAGGAACGGAGGGAGTACTAAGTCATGACCATCTTTTCTACTCCGGGAGAAAGAATAAATCTAGCTAGGCTGTCTTTTTAGAGTAAGACGAGTTGTAACATTACTCTCCACTAAGGCAACTCAAAATCTAGGCAAGAACTAGAAAGAAAATCTTTTTCTTCTTTGATTGACACAAGACCAGGTAATACAAATATTAAAGCTTCTAAGAGGTGGGCAAGAAATTCTAGGGTTCACATTTTACAACCAAGTAACCAGTAAAATACATACCTGATAAACTGCTTCAATTACAATGTATCGCCGAGTTTTCTTGCGCTTGTTTTCAGTAGTTATTGTCTCTAAAGTTCTTTTCAGGGATTCCATATTGTTGTGCTTGAAATGCACAATTTTGCTTCTTGACAAATGGAGTCCGTTTTGAATACCCCAATGAACACCTTCATCCCTGGAAGAGCACCCAACAGATAGAATGAAAACAGAAAGGCCAATCCACCAGACAAAGGGAGGGGGAACAAACTTTAGATGACAAATGGAAATTCTAATTACAATAATTCATTTACGCAACGCCACAAATGGACAGGGAAAAAAATACAGATCATTCTAAGAAGATTTCAAAATGTTAGAATCAACAATATGAAACAATTAGGCAGCATAGTTAGATTGTGAGTAAAATTTATAATCTTCATAAAAGACCAGTCATTAGCGAAAATATCTTTTCACTGGCTATTTCTTTACTTTTTCAGAAGGGAGAGCTATTAGTTAACTAAAAACAGGGAGGGTTGTGTTCACATAAATAATTTTTAAAAGGACTACAAGCCTTCGGTATGCATATAATCATTCTAGAGTAACAGCCAAACATGGCAGGATTGTTATTCTTACACAACAATAATATCGCCTTTTTTACAGAAAGCTGGGATTGTGCTAAACATGGTGGAAAGTCCATATGAGTAAAGTATTGAATCCGGCGTCCCCAAAAACTTTGCAATTCTGGATTCACAGTCCAGGTGCACATCTACAATACAGAGAGAATTAGAAATGATTACATACAAATAATCTGGATTCGAATTTCCAACTCATACTAGCACGGGTCAATTCAATCAAGAGCAATAACTACTTCTCACCAATAGTTCCATAGAAACCACGAGGACCACAAGAACCAACACCATATTTCTCTACCGCAGATGTACAGGAATCCTATAAAACAAAGCAAGTCAGATTGGCTAATACAACAAGCAAGTAGAATATAAATAATATGCATAAGATTTTCTCACGAGTAGTTTTTCATGTCCAATCAATCCCAAATAATTAGCTGATGCAAAATTCACAACTTCCTTGCCATTAATTATTGTGTGTGGCCCGGCAGCACTGCATCAAAATGTTCATTTATCAATTAAACACTTAGGCCTCAAACATGATAAAGCTCTAAAACATCTTCATAGTGTTTGTTTCAAAAGATAAACAAAAATTAAACCAACAGATCCACAAAGAATACCGAAGTAAACCATCTGTTATGGTAAACATTGAAGAATCTCAAATTTTATTTTCCATCTCTAAACTTACGCAACAGACATCATCTAATAGCTTGCCAACTGGACAATGGAATTTATAGTTGCAGAACCAAATCTCGAAAAAATCATCAACTTTACCTCTCCAGTTTTGGAGGTTCACGGCGCATTTCTTTTGTCATAGCTGGAATAAGGGGTTCAGGAGTCCAGTCAACACACAATCCATCTATTTCCTGCCAACATAAAAGAAACTTCATGGATTCAAAAGGTACAATGCGACATGCTCAGCACATTTAGGTTGTATTATAGCTCATATTAAGCAAGAACGCCACAATTATCGAAGTATCTAACAACCGCACGTAGTAGTAGATGAGCAGCAAGCTTTAAGTATGAAAAGACCAATTTTACCTCACAAAAAATGCATAATAGTTTGAAATGTCTAGCACAAGCCATCAGAATATGAACCTTAAATCCCGAAAAAACACTCAAGATACAGAACAATATAATGATATAGTTGTGGATCCTAAACATATCCATTAGTAAAATCTCTCACAAAAGTTTTCCAGCAATTCATGAATTGAATTGTATGAAGATAACATAATCAAAGGGGCAGATAATGAAACCTTGGAGGAAAATAACATATGGTAATTATTAATAACCTACCTCCTCTGTCAATGGTTTCTTTGGAGGCGCATAACTTTTTTGAGACAGAAGATAGAGGATGACTACAAAGAGAAGACCTTCAACAAACAGATGACCTTCAACAAAGCAACAAAAAAATGTTATAGAATTTTACAGGTGAAACTAGCATATATTAATTTCAATACTTAGTCTCAATAAAGAAATGGCATGGATATGAGAGTATACCTCCAATTTGTACTCCAAAGACAACAGCCCGAGCAAAGGGAGCTTCAAAAGCCATTGTCACCCAATCTACTGAAGTTTGCAGCATGCTTATTATAGTTGTTTCCATCTCCTGTAAATACAAGTAATACAACCAATTGACAACCATACAACGCTTAACTGTTTTTTTTTTCCAAACATATGCTAAAAATCAAGATGCATTCAATTTAGCCAATGTGCCTCCAGTTCTTATGCACAATAGCTTATATTCTCAGTTTCCCTTTCCTTTGTTTGGAAATTCTTCGACATCTCTACTTTTTATCGAATCTTCTCTTTCTATTCCTTCTTCAAGTATACATTCAAGTCCCATACCCAAATGCTGGATACCACTCAACAAAAAAATTTGACAAGCTTTGACCTAAAAGTTGCAATGAAATTCAATCTTTACGAAAATAACTCCCTTTCGACTAGCCTATAACCAACACAAATCAAAATTTTTTGCAATTCCAATCAGCTAGGCGTATTGTTGAGATACTTTCAAGTAATTATATCCTGAGGCGCCCCGTGATCCCTAATCAACACTCTTTCAGATTGTTTCAAACCATCAAACAAGCAATAAACCAAATTGACAACATAATCAACCATCCATAATCTCATTAGAACATACAAATTTCAATAAAAAAAATTTTAAATGGAAATTTCGACTTATACCACCCAAAAAAACCTAAAATGTCTTTTACCACCCTAACTTCCTAAAGCTTTATTTTTAGACCACAAAGAAAACAAAATTATTTGATTTCACAACCAAATTTTACTTTAGTGAGTTGTGAGATCTTGATTTGAAAACATTACCTAATAAAAATTTAAACTTTAGTTGATCTTGATTTCATTATTAAGAGATTGGTCAATAAAAATCGAATTCATTAAAACACAAAATTGCGTAATGAAATTAAACCTCTTTTTATAACAAATCATACCCACAAACAATTCAATATACTTAGTATTCTCACGCAAACATTTCGAATTTAAAGTTCACCTAATCTTATAAATCTCCCCATATCAAGCACAAATCAGCTAGTTAGATTCGTTCAACATTGATATATCAAATCAAAGCTATTAGAAAGTTAGAAATTACAGCAATCCAATTACAAAATTTCAGAATTTATCCTAGTTCTAATTCGAAATTCGATAAATTTACCTGATTGTTGATGAAATTGCGGGCAAGGAGAATGGGAGGAGGAAAAAGAAGATTTTAAAAAAAAACGTTGCTTTGAAAACGTTTGGCCTTCGAACCGCTAATTTTGACCAATTCAATCAGCTAATTTTGCTGTTGAGTGTTTGGTTAGGAGCGGATTCAATGAGCGGTTTGGCCTTTGAACCGCCAATTTGAAAACGTTGCTTTGAGAGTTTGAGCAGCAAAGCAACGTTTTGAAAGACAGGGTAGCTGATTAGAGTTCTAAATATGTCTGATCGGTAAATATCGGACTAAAAAAATTATGAGGATTGAGGTTCGGTTAGGGTCCTATACCTTATTATAAAAAATAATTAAAAAAATGATTTTTTTTTTTAAAAAACAAATAGTACTTATATATACATACTATATCCCAGTTTATAAAACAAAAAATTTTCAACAAAGGATTAAAATTAACTAAATAACTATGGAATTAGATTGAAAACTTGAAAAGGGAAGAGGGTGGTATATACCTTGTTGATGTAGCCAAATTTACCTCTTCAATATGATTAAAAAAAAAAAAAACTCAAAAATTGCAAGATCTAAATTAAAAAATAAAATCACTAATAGAGGCTTGATTGGGAAGATGGAAGAAGAGATTGAAGAATGATATCACGGAGGAAAGGAGTGAATATGGGTGTTGGGAATTTAAAGTTGGAAAGGATTTGGGACCTTGTGATTTGTCAAGTGAAAGTTCTATGTACTTCCCATGCATGTTTTCAATTTTTATTTTTTATTTATTTTTAAAAATGTAAAAGTTTTCTCCTGCCTCATATCATACACACTACACAGCCTTGTATTGTTTCTACTTTCTTGTTCCATTTGAATGTGATTTGGTAAAATTTGGAATGCCACACAGGGGAGCTCTAGTAAATCATCATGATAAATTTTTCTAGTGGTATTTATATAAATAAATCAACACAAAAACCTCCCTCAAAAAAATTTGCAACATTAGGTGTTGTACATTGGAAAAAATTACAAAAAATACTCCCTATATTTCGTAATAATTGCAACATTAGGTATTGCACCAAGTTTTAGAAAATTTTACAACACTGTATAAAGTATAGTTAGCAGAGATAATTTTAATTGTTATTAAGGAAGAGAAATATTTAGACTAAGCTTAAATATATAAGGCAAGTATATAAATTTCAAATTATATTTGTTTGAAATAGTTAACAAGATAACATCTCAAGTTTATTGGGTGACTTGCTATGGACGATCATACAATCTTAGATGGATTCACGTTACATTGTTTACTAGCATATTTCCAATTGTGCCATTAAGAACATAGGCCCAGTACAAGTCCAAAAAAAAAATAAAAGTTTGAAGCATAATAGATACAGTACAATAGCCGAGTTAAGCATAAAGGAGACTTTGGGTTGGGGACTATGACCTGCCTGAGAAGGAATACTCAGATAGGAAACCTCATTATCTTTCTTTTCCTGTCATATTCATTACTTTATAATAAATTATTAACCTCACTATTTTCTTTGTACAATTTTTTTAATACTCTGACTACCTTACTTCTTATTTTATTTAAATCAATTAAATTGCCTAAAACTATATGCCGGTTAAAGTGTAATACTTATTAAAACACAGAGGGAGTATAATTTTTTTTTTTTTTTTAAATGTGATAAAAACAAAATTTATCACGAAATATATTGGTAAATTGGTAATAATATAAGGTTTCATACAATCAACTTTTAATATTTTTTTTAATGATATTTAATTATATATATTTAAGGTCAAAATAATGTATTAATATGTATGTCAATTTTGAATGTGTCAATTTTAAAACAGAGAGAACATTATTGATGTTCATTCGTTGATGCAAGTACCCAATTCTACTCTCTTCTTTGTTTGAAATTTACTCGCTACGTCGGGGTTATTTACTCGTTAGTCGTTACCATTGTTAGTCGGAGTATCAAGCCCAACTAGCCATCCTCACCCTTACGGCCTTACATATTTGCAAATTAATAATTTAATATTTTATCTTTTAACATTTTTTTTCATTGTATACATGAAACGTGTTAGATATTAAAATAAATCATTTTTAAAAGACAAAAGCTAACGAATGCCCCGGAGACATTCGATAACATAATTAAAAGTAGAATTATTAACTTGAAATAAACATTCATTACACCGATCGACGCGTGATTTTCACATGCATTCTCAAATTAATACTATATTAGGAGAAACGCTTTATAATTACAACAGAACTTTCCTACTCTCTTCCTCTCTTCTAAAATTTTCTAAATTTTTGGTCCTTAAGGATGGAAATAGTCTAATTTCTTCGGTATAAATTAGACTTTTTAAATTAGATTATTTTTGGCCCTTTTCCCCTTATTTTTCTTTTGTTTTGCAATTTAGATTTCAATAAATCTACACGAGCAGTGTAGATGTTTGTCCGTCTCCCTATGGTGGAGTCGTTATTTTTAGTTAGTTTAGTTGTTTGTTTATGTTTAGGTTTGTGTGTGTGTGTGTTAGGGTTTATAAAAAAGGTAGTCATCTTTTGCCCTATAATCAGCTCGTTGGTAAAGATTTGTCCAGGATCGCAACGGTTGTTAAATCTTCAAATGCGTTCAAGTATCAGATGAAAATCATCCTTATGGCTATAACAAATCATTAGACCGTCTCTCCAAAAAGGCTATATATTCCAGCGATTTATGTGAGAGATGTACCACAGTGCAAGATCTATTCAACGAGCGTAGCTTTAATGAAGGAAACCCTTATTTAATTCAATTTTATGTATTTGTTGATTTAGATTTCATTTGTAGAAGTCGTATAGCTTTTTATTAATGAATTGATTTGTTTCAAAACAAAATAAAATACTATATTATGAAAGATTTTAAAGGGTTATCCAACATTCCGAGAACGTTCGTAATTAGCAAGATCCTTTTTAAAATTATCACATATTGTATATATTATAGTGCTAGCAACATATATGAAGTATACTAGAACATACATTAGGATTGACACATATATCATCTGTAGGACTCCAGGTTTGTTACTTATTTTTGTTCCTTGAATTTAAATATCTAATCCCTTGTTTTCGTTTAAGATTCCTAAAGTTATCATTTTGGTCACAAAATCGATGTTAAAGATAACTTGCATTCAATCCCATTTGTCATTCTTGAGTGAATAGGATGCTTAAGGGAATAAGGTAGGGGTGGCAATTGTAATGCAAATTTTACCCAAGTATAATATTTTCACTTGAATTAGACCCAATTTGATAGGATTATCACCAACCATCTATATCATTTTTTTGTTCGTTTACTAGTTGTGGGACTATTCGTTTATTTAGAGTAAATTGGAGTATGGATATTCGTGATGTGCCTATAATCAAAGTGACCTAAATCATCCCCAATTAAAAGACTTGTTTGTATTACTATTGTGTCCTACTCTCCAGCAGTTAATAATACGACTACTGATTTGATTAAACCCACTAGAGGTTTAAGACAGGGGGATCCTCTTTCTCCTGCCTTGTTTGTTATCTGTATGGAGGTCTTGGCAAAAAAATTGCTCCTCCTTATCCAAAATAAATCTCTAGGCATTGGGGTCAAAATTACACCGTCAGCTTCGATATCCCTTGTCTTTTATTTACAGACGACAGTCTTTCATTTTGTAAAGCTACTACTACGGCTTGTACCTCTCTTCGTAATACTTTAGCCGAGTTTGCTTCTCTCTCTGGTCAGCTTATCAACTTCCATAAATATTCTATTGTTTTCTCCAAATATGTTTCAAATAGTCATAAGTCTAATTTGGCTAGGTTTTTTTTTTAATGTGACTCCCAAATCTTTTCTTGGCCGATATTTAGGAGTTTTCTTTAATTCCTCTTGTTTTAATAAAGATAATTTCTAGCATCTTATTTTGAAAGCAGATTAAAAAATGAATTCTTGGTCTTTTAATATAGTTTCTAAAGCAAGTAAGATAGTGCTAATTCAGAGTAATCTAGAGGCTATACCTTCTTATGTTATGACTACAACCTATCTCTCTATTTCTGTTACATCTTCTCTTGATAAAATTAACCGAGATTTCTTTTGGAAACAATCTCCTAATAAAAAAGGTCTCCCAATGGTTGCTTGGGATACTATTTGTCAACTTAAGAGTCAAGGTGGTCTAGGTCTGCATAAATATGATGCTATTATTCTGCTTTTCTAGCCAAATTAGGCTGAAAAGTCATGACTGACCTATCTAATTTATGGGTACAGTTTATTACGACAAAATACCTTCGTAACTCCCTTTTTCTTAATTATCGTTCTCAGCCTACAGATTCTTGGATTTGGAAAAAATTCGCCAAATTCGTCCTCTATTGATTAGAGATATGCGATGGAAAATTGGTAATGGGTCTTCTATTCTTTTTTGGGTTGATATTTAGTGTGCTAATACTAATATCATTGGTCTTTTGAATTTAGACCCAGAGCATATTCCGAATATTGATGTCACTGTTGATATGTTTATCTTAGAAGATAATGCTTGGAACGTTCCCATTCTACTTTCGGTCCTTTCTTACGACCTAGTTCAAATTATTCGAGGAATACCCCTCCCCTTCTTCTCCCGTTCCTGATGAACCTTGTTGGGGTTTGTCTAAAGATGGTCAGTTTTATGTTAAAACAGCCACATGGTTGGCCCATAGTAATTCGAATCCTTCTTCTACTAAATGGGAATTCCGTTGGATTTGGAATTTAGACATTCCGCCTAAAATTCAATTTTTTTTTATGACAAATCCTCTTGAATAGTCTCCCAACGAGACAAAACTTAGTCTACCGAAAGATTAATGTTCCTTCTTGTTGTGCGTTTTGTAATACGCATTCTAAGTCTCAACAACATTATTTCTTCTTTGTCCTTTCTCTTTTGATCTTTGGTCTTCTGCTTTTATTCGAACTTGGGTAGGTTCGATCCCATAATCCTCCACTTCGATTCCAGATCTTTTCTGGTCTCTTAAGTTTTCTTCTCCTTGCTCTCTGCCTAAGATTGCCATTCTTTTTTTAGAGTATATAGAAATGGCTTAATGCTGTTATTTTTAAGAATATTATAACCAATATTATTAGTATTTATATTCGTGCCTTTTCTTTGTTTCAAGAATGGTAGACTCGATCTGTTTTGGATGATATATACCTTCTAAGCAATAAGTCTATTCCTACTAAAGTTCAGTCCTCCCCTAATATTATATCTTGGTCCCCTCCCCCTATGGGCTACTACAAATTCAATTTTGATGGTTCCACCATTCATAATTCGGCCTCTGCAGGTGTGGTACTTAGGGATCATTTAAGGAATCATATTGCTAGTCGTACTTATAATTTAGGCTCTTGTCTAGTTTTCCTTGCTGAAGCCATTGCCCTTCGTAATGGTCTCCTCCTAGCTAGTGAGCA